CAACAATAAGGTTGTAAATCTTACCTTTCCCACCTTTGAAATCTTTAGGCTTGCAAATAACAAATGAGGCGACACTAACCATGAATTATGTAAAATGGTTCGTTACGGAACCGTCTACACTATCTGTACGACGATGTCAATGAGGTGTACACACGATACCTCCTTCACCTCCCCAGTAGCTAGATAGAGCTCAGGTAGATTTGGATAGGAAGCACTAAAGTGGGAACGACGTGGGAATGGGAAACAAACGCGAAATCTATTCCCCACGAAACTGTTCTAAACTCAAACCTTCATTACTAACTCTGCTTTTAAGCCAGTGTTCTAATGACTGCTGACATAAGTGAAAATAGCGGCCAACGTATATTCTCTTGGAAACGCAAGACCTTAGGTTATCCAGTCAGTCAGTCAGTCAATTAGTCCGTCGAGCTGTTTGTCTGTCTGTCTTTCTGTCAGGAAACAAATGATGATAGACAATGCGGTTTCGTTAGTAACTGTCAGTTACTTATCAATGCATATGAATGGGATGTTTTTGGGTTAGCTTCCATTACCACTTTGTCTTCCCATTTGACCCCATCCCATGATGGTGTAAATCAGTGGTTCCTTTGGCACCTACCTCAGGCGCAACCCGAAGTTCCAGATTTTCTACTCATGATTAAAGAGGAGAGGACCTCTTCGACGTGATCCAAAACCATCTAATGTTTCATCAATGGAACTGGCTTATTATCGCTACTCTCGAGTGATAGCTCACATACTATAACTTAAGATAAACAAATTCATGCGGTAGGAGGCAGGCCCCACTCACATCAGATCTGTATACCTGGCGTATTATGGACTAGGGTTAAAAATAAAAAAACAGGGCATTGACAGGCAGATGGACACACACACTAAACCCACGTCCGATAGTCCACGCTCAGAAACAATCTTAACAAGGAATAATCAGCTTACATTCGGATTTACTTAAAAGGGTACCTAATTTTCGGTTACCCGATATAACTTTGTTGTCATGCAACGTAGGGTCCACTGATGGCTCTCAAATCTGCTAAATCGCATTTAAGTGCGTTCACAGCGTACAATGGTGAGTTACTAGACTATCCCAATGTTTTTTAAGGAGGACTGTCAAATCAGCAGCAGCTTCCACTTACGGACCAATCGCCATCCCATTGCAGCAGACGTGGAACGAGGCAACCGACGAGGAGGAGGAGGCGAGGTGGGGGCGATTCTCGGCATATTTTTGATGGTGCACTGATTCACGGTCGCTTGAGACTTTGGAGCTGGAAAAAATCCAACAGAGGCGGGGTTGCGAAAAAAGATTGGAGCATCTCTCGTTACTGCGCCATTTTTGAAAAATGCAAGAAATAACGCATTAAAATGGCTTTGCATATTTCCCCTTTAAGTTGTGCAACATTTCAATGCGTTTGTAATGCTTTAATGGTTTGTTTAACCCTTCATTTTGGGTTCAGGTGCACTTGAGTCATCATCTTTGTACTTCTGCTGGGTGGAATAACCTCCAGGTCTCCATTCAAGTTTTATCTTTTCTTTCGAGTTCAAGGAAGACTGAGAAAGCTGCATTTGTGGCATGAGAAAGCAAACCCTTTTTAAGGGGCAGCTATCGTCGTTTTTACTGATAAACGACGAATTTTACTGTGACGGAAGAAAGGCATGGGATGCGATTAACAGAATCTGTGACGACTGTCAACAATAAGGTTGTAAATCTTACCTTTCCCACCTTTGAAATCTTTAGGCTTGCAAATAACAAATGAGGCGACACTAACCATGAATTATGTAAAATGGTTCGTTACGGAACCGTCTACACTATCTGTACGACGATGTCAATGAGGTGTACACACGATACCTCCTTCACCTCCCCAGTAGCTAGATAGAGCTCAGGTAGATTTGGATAGGAAGCACTAAAGTGGGAACGACGTGGGAATGGGAAACAAACGCGAAATCTATTCCCCACGAAACTGTTCTAAACTCAAACCTTCATTACTAACTCTGCTTTTAAGCCAGTGTTCTAATGACTGCTGACATAAGTGAAAATAGCGGCCAACGTATATTCTCTTGGAAAGAAATTAACGATATTACTTGTGACTACTTGACTGGATGTAATGTTTAAGAACCGTTACACAGTACCAATTTTCCACTGGAAAATGAAAGTGCACTTGAGTTCGCAGAGGTAACCTTGATTAACTAGCTTT